AAAAATGTTTTGTGTGTATAATAGGCAGTACATCAAAATAAGCCTATTTTAAATATTGTACATGGTTAACAGTTTGTTGATAACTAAAATCACTGCAACATCTGGTATGTCCCTATATAGCTTGTTGTAAAGATTTTTTTTTTGTTTTAAAATCAGAGTTGTAAATGAGATCATGAATGTTACAAGGGAAAACAAGTTGTGCATGCACTTAGGTACTTGTTACCCTGGAAACAAAATGGTTTTTGCATGATAAGAAATTTTTCTGCCTTACACAGTAGACAATATTTGAAGATTTAGTACAAAAACAGTGACAATACAAGATGCTCCCCAGAACAGAATTAGCATCAAAATATAATATATCTTAAGAATATACCTTTTAATTTCTCCTAAAGCAAATCACATAGGTTGATTCCTATATCAATCCTAGCCACAGAATGAATTAGATTAAAGTAAGTGTATGGCTGTGTAAAAACACAGAATAAGTTCTTGCTTCCTACTTACCACATTTTAATTTGATTACAAACAAAGTTCATTCTACATTTCTAACAAGTAAGAATGCTACTTTAAAAGGGTTGTGCACAAAGAGGCACTGTTTTTGCTGTCATCCTTCTATATACTCGGCACTAATGTAAAAAATACATAACTCCTCCAAATAGAACTAAATAAAAAGGGGGTTGAGTTGAGAGCCCATTATGGTTATTGTTTTCTTCTTTAGGATAATGAATGACAGTAATTTAAGGCCACATCAACATTTCTGAAGGGCTCCCACCCCTCCCCAACTATCATTATTGTATTGATTGACTTGCTGCTTTGGAAGAGGATTTTTAACCTTCAGTGATCTATGTTTCAACTCTTCTAGAGCTCTATGTGCTGCTGTGGATGTGGTTCAGCTAATAGCGTTTTTCATTCAGATAATTAATTAAAAGTAAAATTATCAAGGTTAGCTTTATACACTGCTGAATAACAAATGCAAAACCTATTCAAGTGAGTTACATCTAGGAACAAATATTAAATTGCCCTGGATGCTTTAATAACAAAAGTATAAAATATTTTCTGTTGGCAAACAATGCGAGTCAGAATAACATTAAAGCAACCTGCCTTTTCTAACTGAAAAGAACCCCTGCACTATACATAGTTCTTGTATACAATACTTTTGTTTAAACTAAAGCTTTATTAAATGAATTGCAATAGCAATGGCCGCCTTTGTATATATATACACATTAGATAGGTGCATATATATGTATATATATGAAATACTAATTTATTTAACACAATAGAGGCTTCTGCCATATGATAAAGTTTACTGTACATAAGAAAAAACTTTTAATACTGTACAATCACATAAAGGTCATATGCACTGTTGCAGTGCAAGAGTAGTTTTAACTGTAGTCTTGACTGGCATATTAATGGCTTTTTTGTAATCCTGCAAAATTGCATTCTCATCTTATGTGGCCTGAATGGTCTTTAAATTGTTTTATAAACACTGCAGGGGTTGCCTTTGGTCCACAGTTAAAGGACACTCAACAGCAGTGGAGCATTGTATGGATGCAGCAGAAGAATGTAAAAAGACTGAAGTTATTGCAATTGTATTTCTAAAAATAGAGAAATGTTACAGAAGAGGCCTTTATGTAAAATTAATCCTGCATATGCTTTTAGTATGCTCAGTGCACATTTCCTATACTTGATGTACAGTATATGAAAAGCAGACTAATAGGATCCTAGTACACTACCTTCTTGGGGAACAAGTTGAGTAATGAAAAAACTTTGAGGAAAATGTATAGGAAGGGAGGGGAAAAGAGAGAAAATAATAGAGGAGAGAGAGGAGAGAGAAGGTGGGAGGAAAAAACTAGAATTGTTACTAATAATCCTGATTTTTTTTAACGTTACATCCATGTTAGTCCCACAATTTTACAGTTGCTCCTTGCAAAGGGAGTCCTAAAAAAGAAACAGTGAAGAGATTTGTTTGATGCTCATATGGAGGTGCCTCGGTCTGGATCATTACCCAGATTGAGCCCCAGGGTAGGAGTTGGTTGATAAGGAATAGATGACATTGTTTTTATAGGACTCCTGAAAAAGCCCCCATTAGGTGCCCTGTGCCTAAAAGGGCCAGTTCGGTGCTCAGGCACGTTGCCAAAAGTGAAACCAGAGGCAGCTTTAGCTGACAGTGTGCGGCTAAGAGTCTGGATCTGCTCTGGGATAAAGGTTGTTGTGGTAATATGAGTGTTCCTGAAATCACTGATTTGCTCCAGTGCTTGTCGTGTTGGCAAAGTGTCAATGTCCAGAGGGGTCAAGTCAATTGACGAGGTGGAAAACTGTTTATGGGGGCTGTCGTCATCTGTGCACAAGCTATTTACACGTCTATGGAGGTGCTCCAGGTCAATTTCCTTGTCATCCTGGAGATGAAGAAAAAGAAAATAAGGTTCTCATCAGTACTAGCTTCGATGGTTAAAAAAAAAAAAAAGTAGTTCAGCAAACATGTAATTAACTGAACTCTGGAGTTTATTCATTTAACAAATATTTATTGAGCACCTAGTATGAGCCAGGCACTGTGCTAGGTTCTGGGGGTACCAATTCTGAGATAAGGTTATCTACAATAAATATTTTCCTTGCAGTAAAGGTTCTTAAGTGATCATATGCCACATGCAACTACAAAGATATGCAAGCAGTTGATGGGTGATTGCCATTCTATAAAAGGCAGGCCCAGGCAAAATTGTACCAATAGAAAGTATGGTTTTGGCAACTCTACCCCCTACTTCTTCGTTATACATGCTTCCTTCTTTTTCAGGGTGTCTCATTCCAAGTTAAATTTTTGTTCCTTTCAACCACTTACTCCTAACCTTAAATTTCCATTCTTGAAAGAAAATGATATAATAAGCTATTTCATACTAAAGTGTTAGTGACTGTTAAAGTGTTATTTCTTGTAAGCCAAAGATATGGGAGATTGTTTAGAGAGAGCAATACTCAACACAAAACAATTAATTTCTAACTGAGGGATTTTATGCACTCAAGGTATCTAGCACCCAAATCAGTCAATATTGTGAGGTCAGTGAGGTATTTAGGGACTCCTTCAAGTCAGGGCACATGAGTGATAGCTTTAGTTTAGGGCTAGCTTTATGCTAACTGACTTCAAAACCAAAGACGCTTTAAGCTATGCTAATTGCGTCTTGGTAAGAAGGCAGTTAATAAACAAATATGTAAGTAAAACCTCAGGTATTGGAATTGAAACAATTCATAAGTTCCCTATAATTTTCACTAAAAGTGAGTATTAAAGCCCAATATTTGAGAAATAAAACTGGAAAGAAATAAAATTATCCTTGTTATCTGTCTTACTTATTGCCAAACTCAATACATTAAATTTATGAGAATTTAAAATATCTATTAATCATAAGAGGAGAAAATATCTGCTTATAGGATCTGGATTAGCAGTCACTAGTTGGAACGGAGTATGTATTTTTTTCATTGTGCTATTATCGTGTTCCTCGGTGAAAAATATTTTGATGTGCATCACTGTTTTTCCTTCTCCCTTCTCATTTCAAAATTCAATAAAAAATATCCATTAATGCAATATTATCACTGAGACTTTAGAGGATTGAGACATAATTTCATGGTTCCCACAGCAACTATAATGTAGTCATCCATCAACAAATATAATAATGCAAAGTTTTAATGTCATATATAGTAATTCAAAATATAAGGGGCTTGGGGAATCCTTACTTTCGAGATTTTTAAAAATATGAAGTCTTAGCTATAATGTTGCATTAATGTGGTCTTTTGCATTGAATCAATGTCAACAGAGATACCAGAAGCTTATTTCACAAAGAAAATGCTACAATAAGGCTGGATTAATTTGTTAATTTGTTCTTTATGTATTTAGAATGTATGATCATTCACACAGGTAGGAAGCTAAACTTCATCTTTCCTAGAGTCAAGGTTTTCCTTAAAAATGATGCTGATCAATTTTGCATATAAGGTGATAAGAAGGAATCTTTATATTACTTTTGAAATCACTCTGTTTGAAAGAATATATTAACATGCAACAATTCATATGCAAATAAGAAGTCATATTTATTGTGCATTAAGGTAGATCCTTTTAGCATTCACTTCAGGTATCAGTCAGCCAAGTTCTAGTTATAGAAAGTTTAAAACTTTCTTTGAAACTATCCATCAACATCAAATCATTAGGCAAATTCAGATTGGTTTTTATTTCAATTTGTGAAGCTTTAGTGAATATGACTTCATTGGTTAAAATATTTTCACCCCTTTGGTTCAAAGGAAATAAGATAAATGAATCAATATTTAACTTCAGATTTTCCTTAATTTATAAGTCTCATACTTCATGATGAAAACAAGGCTCAGGTCACTATAAAAGAGATATGTATAATTCTGCAATTATTCTTTCAGATATTGAGATAAAATTTAATATGGCCCTGAAGTTAAGCTGACTCCAGAGTAAAGGAGAAAAATTGAATTGTGGATGTTTCTATGACGTAGATTTTGGATTTGATAAGCTTGGGGCCATCGAAGAGCTTCTATAGATCCAAATGTATACAGAAGGAGGCAGTCACTAGTGGTGAAGAGAAAATTCTGATCATTTTTCTTATAGTATTGTATTTTCGGAGGGCTAGTCTTAGACACATGAGGAATTTACTTACAAGTCAAAAAAATACGTGAAATAAAATGGTAAGTATCTCTGTGAACTGGTCAAAGGAATCATGGCTTTTAAAAATCATTGAATTAAAATTACGAGATTTGGGAGAATTTCAAAGCCCATTGTGGTACATGAAATTCTCAGTCTTTGAAACACTATAGTCTCCTCCACTGATCGGGGATATCCTAAAATGGAAATTGATATTGATCTTACCGATTTTTATATTTCACAACTTCATTTTTAATCCTCAAAGAAAGAAGAAACAAGGACCACCCCCTCCCTGGGTTCGTCCTCCCTGGAAATGCAGCCTGCTTGTTGATTCAATTTAGAGCCAAAGCTCTCAATCAAGTACCTCTTTTGATGGAACCCGGGAGCCTTTCCTCTTGTTCCACCACGTCTCCAGCATGGCTATGAAGCAGGAGAGGACAATTCCGGCAGCCAGGATACAAAAAACCCCTGCAAAGCTCTTTATGTCCAGGGCACCTCCTTTCTGCTTTGTGTCCACTGAGGAGTACAGATCACACTGGCCATTCTTAGGCCACCATTTGTGCTTCAGAAGGTCCATGTCGCCATTCTGCTGAAGCTCCAGGATCCTTGGGATAAAGAACACAAGCACGTGTTATTACAGACATAGTTATTGGCCTGGTTCACAACACATCCATTTATAATCCCACCTCTGTAGGATGGCGGCTGTCAAGGAGAAATGAATATATCAATCAGCTTGTAGATGGAATGCTAGGAAACAGAAGTCATCATTGCTTTGATTTGACAGACGGCATTGCACCACATAGCTTTCATCTCTCTTCACCTATCTACCCTCTCATCTTCCTCTCTCCTTTTCTTCCTATTCTTCTTTTGGTTTCATCATATAATTCTAAATATTTCCCTCCTGGTTTATTACAGTATATTTTTACAATCACATTTCAGAGGCACTGATTTTATATGCTTTCAAGCTGCTGCAGTTCTGTGTCCCTTCCTTACATCCAGAGTGATATTCTGGATCTTAATGCTTTTATAAAGAACGTTTTGCTGCTTAGAGCAAGATGCTGGCATAATGTCACCCAGCATATGCTACACACAAAGAAATTCAATTAAGAGGACCTATTATTTAACACAGTGTGAGAGAAAGCCTTGGGACAAGTTTCAAGTTGATAAAATACATCTTTTTTGGTTTTCCGCACAACTGATCTAGTTTCTCTTTTAATGCCAAAGGGGAAATAATCTTACCTTGGAAAACAAGAAGAAAAGCTGACTAGAGGCTTTCAGAAGTAGTTAAATTCAAATAGGAAAAACCCTCTCCTTTTTCTTCTGCTTCTTCTTTTTCCCCTCCCCAGAGTCTGAGGGTAGCTGCAGACTGCAGCTGTTTAAAGTGTGTTTTTCTTACAGGAATTATTCTCAATTCCCAGTGCTTCTTAGGCTCTACCTGAGACCAGCCTAGCTGTGGCCCTCCCCAGCTGTGCCATTTTTCACAGGGCAAGGAAGATCGGGTCACGGTGGTGTGCCTGTACAGAGTGTGCATCGTCCTCTGGGTTCCCCAGAGTTTCCTGGACAAACAGCTTAGTGCTCTTCCAGGGCCTGCTAGGCCTATTCCCAGGGTTGTCCTCCTGGCAGAAGATCTTACGGCCATGGGTGTACCATAGCTCTATAGGGCGGAGTTTGTAGAGTGTAGACAGAGCTCAGATGGGTGAGTTCAGGTGCATATGACTTTGTGTAGGAGACACTTCATTGTGCAATATGGAGCTGCAGATGGCGGGAGAGGGCCCCAGAGCCCTGTGCTCCTGGGTCAATGGTCAGTGTAGACCTCCTGGCTAGTCACATAGAAACTTGAACCTGTCCTCCTGGGGTCATGAGGGTATATTTGTCCAGATAAGAACATAGAGTATATTACATATAACAGGTTTTAGTTTAATGTCTAATTTTTACATAATTAGACTTAGGGTATGTGAACCCATATTTGTACTCTTGTCCAAGGTCTTGGATTATTTGGGGTGAGACTACTTAAAACTTAAGAAAGGAGAATGGAGTCAATCTGGAAGGAGTAAATTACTCACTTTCAGTGACCTTTTTACCTGTTTCATGTCATCCACGTGGTTAGAACAAGCAACATGATAAAGGGAAGAAGAATTTGTGCATTGGAAGTGGGGTCAACGTTCAACCTGAGTTAAACAAGAGTGAGACCCGCTGTGGAGGTTCTGCTGGAGCGTTGGTCTCACATCCCTGTCATCTCCCCCAGACTATTCCACAGCCTCAGCTCTGGCGCCTCGTGTGGGCACTCCAGGACTGAGACTGTACTGAAACCTCCCCCACTACCCAGACTTTTTCTCCATGCTTCTTATGAAATGTATCTTTCTAGAGTGTTTCTAGAAGGGTGATTAATTTGATTAATTGAATTTACTAAAGTGATTATGAATATTAATGGGTTATATGTCACCCTTATTCCAGGCTCCATCCCAGACAAAGCCATTTGCATTTCCTGAATTTCCAAAAGTGCATTTCACGGCAAACTGGTACCTAGAAGGCCTCTGTAAGAAAAGGACTTTGCGGTCATTAATTTTGAGAAACATACTCTTGAGAATTTACAAAGATGTGAGCCTATTAAAGGCTCTAAGAAGACCAGCAGAAAAGAAAACTGCATGATTTTTTTTTTAACTCAGCGTTTCCCAAACTTATGACTTTCATTCCCCTTCCCTCATTTTGCTGTCCAAGTAACAGGTTTAAGAAATATACATGGAAATAATCTCTTGATTTAAAGCAGCAACTACTTGTAGAAATTTCCAGCACTGTGTTAGGCAACAGACAAAGATAAAATCATGGTATCAAAATTACTTTCTTGGTCTATTCATGAATATCATTTAAATGACGTTGGCACTGCTAACCGATAGGTATAAAGCTTCAGTTATGCAAGAGGAAAACGTTCTAGAAAACTACTGTACAACATTGTACCGGTAGTTAACAATACTGTATTGTACATTAAAAATTTTGTTAGTAGAATAGCACTCATGTTAAGCATTCTTACCATAATAAAAAAAAATAATGTCACACCACTTAGGTATTTGCCCACCTAAACACTCTAGGTAGTCAGAGCACCATTGAATACCTTCAAGGAAAAATTTAGTCATCCTTGAACAAATAATTCTTCTTAAATTTGTGTTTATAGGTACTTGCAGTTATAAAAGGCAACCACAGCAACACTTGCTTAGTGAGAATACATCTGGGCACAAAATGAGATCCTGTTTCCCTGCTGTCTTATTTGCATCACATCATATTGCTCGGTAGCCATGTGATATGGTTTGGCTCTGTGTCTCCACAGAAATCTCACCTTGTAATAATCTCCAGGTGTCAAGTGTGGAACCAGGTGGAGATAATTACATCACAGGGGTGGTTTCCCTCATGCTGTTCTTGTGATAGTGAGTAAGTTCTCATGAGAGCTGATGATTTTACAAGGGGCTTACCCTTTGCTCAGCACTCATTCTCTCTCCTGCTGCCCTGTGAAGAGGTGCCTTCCGCCATGATTTTAAGTTTCCTGAGGCCTTCCCTGCCATGGGGAACTGTGAGTCAATTAAACCTCTTTTCTTTATAAATGACCCAGGCTTTGGTATTTCTTCACAGCAGTGAGAGAACGAACTAATACTCTGTGAAAGTATAAGAATTTTCCTTCATAGCATTTATCATCATTTATAATTACTTGATTAATCTATTCCATTTTCTAGAGTGTGTACTCATCATCCTCCATATTGCCTACTACAAAGCAGGTGCATATTTATTGATGGAGTATACTCAACACAGCTTTTGGTAAATTAATCCTAAACCCCGATCTCAGATCCTATTTTTTTTCTTATGACTGATGCTGTTTTCTAATTTATTCATTTCCTGTCTTATTCATCTATCCATTTAATAAAGATCTGAAGAATGACTTCCAGACATTTCCTTGGGTACAAAATTTATTGTAAACCATGACTGTACATTCCACCAGAGTGGCTTAAGTGACGCTGTGAAACCATTTTTTAAATTTCCTCAGTTCATGTTCATTCCTTCTTTCATTCAGAAATTGATTTACTGCCTACACTTTCTTCTTAGTGGTATTTGGGGACCTTTATTTATTTGCTTTTGTCTCCTTATTTTTTATAAACCTGGAAAATATTTTGGCCTTAAAAATAAATATTGGGCCTTCCAAGCCTGTCCCAGAGCCTGGCAAGTCCCTTTCCCAGAAGACTTGATCCCCAGCCTGGCAGGCATGTGGCCCAGGTGGGATTTCCAGGACAGGCCAGTCATCAAGAAGCCAGAAGACCAACTGCCCTTCTCTTTGTGCTAAGAGACAGGCTTGAGGAAAGATCCAAGATGGCTGAATAGGAACATCTCTGGAGTGTAGTTCCCAGCGAGAACACAGACAGTGAGTGATCACTGCATTTCCAAACGAGTTTTTACTACCTACAGACCAGGTGATTCCCAGGTGGAAAAGCATCATGAGTTTCCAGCACAGCTGTTTCAGCTGGCACAGCAGGTCTCCACACAAAAACTCACACAAATCTGGGTGGCTGTTTCAACTGGTGCCTGGAACACCTGGGAGACAGAGTTGCCTGTTCAACTGAAAAAGAAGGGGGCTGAAACAGAAAGCCAGGTGATCTGGCTCAGCTGGTCCCACCCCCACAAAGACCAGCAATCTGAAATGCTCTGGATTGAGACTTTCACAGCAAGCACAGCTGGACCCAGGATGGTCCAATTCTGTGGGGGGAAGGGAACCACCATTACTGAGGCCATCCACCACAACCGAGGCAGTCCAACATTACTGAGGCAGTTCACGATTAGTGAGGCAGTCCACCATTACTGAGGCAATCTGCCATTACTGAGGCAGACCGCCAGTACAGAGGCAGACCGCCAGTACAGAGGCAGACCGCCAGTACAGAGGCAGTCCTCCATTACTGAGGCAGACCACCATTACCGAGGCAGTTCTAACTATACCTCTATAAATAAAACTGCAAGGAAATTCACACAGCAGCTGGGCAGAGCCCACAGCAGCTCAGCAACGCCTCTACTGGCAGACTGTGACTAGGCAGGACATCTCTGAAAAAAGGCAGCAGCACCTCATAATTTACAAATAAAGCCCCACCTTCCCAGGACAGAGCACCTGAGAAAAAAAGGCGGTTATGAGTTCTGCTGCAGCAGACTTAAACATACCTGCCTAGCAGATCTGAATGGAACAATGGAACTCACAGCTCAATATTTGAGCTCCTATAAAGGACAGACAGTCTCCTCAAGCAGCTCCCCTACCCCCACATATCCAAAAAGACACCTCATAAAGTAGAGCTTAGGTTGACATCTGGTGGGTATGCTGGGACAAAGATAGCAGAAGAAGAAATTGGCAGCAATCCTTATTGTTCTGCAGCCACTGCAGGTGATCCCCAGGCAAGTAGGGTCTGGAGTGGACCTCCAGCAGTCCTACAGCAGAGGTGCCTGACTGTTAGAAGGAAAACTAAAAAACAGAAATAAATAACTTCATCTTCAACAAAAAGGACATCCACTCAGAGATCCCATCTGAAAGTCACCAACTACAAAGACCACAGGTAGATAAATCCACAAAGATGGGAATAAACCA